AAACAAAAGCTGGATTCTATCTCTTCCTTCTGTGAAGCGTATGATCTTTCGGCACCTCTGGAGGTTTCCAAACCAAAGTAGCGGACTTAGAAGTCCCTACCCTGTTGCACCCCAAATTTTGACCCCTTAGATCCTCATCATCATTTTAGGATCATATTCATTTGATTATCTAACCTTAACCTATTTCAAGTTTGTCTTTGTCAAGATACAGGAATCAGGGTTTTGTACAGCCGAAATCGAGGTTTTAAGGGTTAATCAGTCAACGTTTTGGATTGGTTCTCCTTAAATTGAGTCTCTACATCATCAAGTGTATTCCATTGGATCAAGTATGAATCCAATTTGAGGTTGTCACCCAAGGATTAAGAACAGTGCACTTCAGGACACCCGATTAGGGTTACTGATCAGGAAAAGTCAATTGTAGTTTGAATTTTGATTAAAATAGTGTTCCAATGATGGAATCATGATCCATGAAGCTCATATGGCTTAGTGAAGTTCACTCAAGAAGTTTCAAGACCTCAGAGGACCCAGAACACCAACAGTCGATTCAAAGTTCTTCAATCAATCGGTACGTCTGTCTGAAAAGTCAACTCATTGACCAACATGGTTTTGACCCAAAATTGAAGACAATTATGTTCCTAATGGTATATAACATCTATTCATGAAGTTTGGTGACCATTGGATCAAGAATTGATAAGTAATCAAAAAGTTGGGAAATTAAGGTTTTAAAAAAGGCAAAGCCGTAACTCCTTAACCACACAAGGGTTTTTGACCTAGTTTCAAGGGGAATGAGTTCCTAACACAAGCATAAATATTGTAGTACCTAATTGGGGATTTTTAAAAAGTACAATTGGGTTCCATAACTCTTCCTGGTTAGAGAGACCAAGATCCACAAGTTGGCAAAAACTCACATTCGCAAAACTAGGTCAGCATGAGTTTTTTGATTCCAAAACCTCTCCAAATCGATGTTAATCCAAGACTAAGCCTCATTTATGATGCTTATATTGATAATAAACATTTTGACATCAATTCCCACGAAAATGGTACAAAGATCAAAGGAAATCATTATTTAATGCAAGTTGCAAAAGTGAATAGTGAAGAAAGAGAAAAAAAGTGGCTACCCTTGTCAAATCATCAACTTTAATTCAATAAGTCACCTCCTATCCTATCAATCATGATGAAAAAATCTATGGGGTATGGAGAATATCTTAGTAGAGTGGCTTAAAGATAAAGGTGAAGATTTCATTGGAAAACTCAAAGATTTTCATGATGGAAGGTTAAAATTGACAATTTGCTACACTTTTGCCCATACCTTGATTCTAGGCCTTTGGCTATAAATAGAACTCACTTACTACATCAAAAACACACAAGTTCCATGCTAGAAACCAGCTAGAACTTTCTTTCTTACACAATCACAAGTTCTTACAAAATCTCATTAAGTTTCCATAATCCCTCAAAATTTGCTTTTGAAAAACACCTTTCAAAACCATTTCCAAACTTCTTCCAACTCAAGAAACACTTCAAACACATAAAGTATGATGTATTGAAGCTATCCAAGTCACTTCCACACTTATGTAACAATATCTTGGAAGAGCTCTCAAGATCTCTGGTTTTCTTATTGCTTAAGCTTGCTTCAAGAGGTAAACCTAAAACTCATAAATGTGAACTTTCCACTTGCATTCCACATGTTACCATGACTGTTTTTTTACCATGATGATCTTGAAAATTTTCAACTTGTAACTTGATTTTTCTTGTGAGATTGATCTTGTATTATTCTTAAAATTTTGTTAACATGTTTAAATAATCAAATTTGTTTGATTCATTGTCTTACCATGTGCATTTTATTCCTTTTATCATTTAGATTTTCATGTTTTGTTCATCCAAACTTCAAAAAATCATAACTCATCCATTTTTCATCATTTTGAACCCATTCTTTTTGCATTGTGTTTGTCTTGATGCCTAACTTCATGTGATATTTTTTAATTCCATGTTTGTTCATATTTTCATGCCTTTTGGTTGCTTGTAAGTTGCCTTTATATTGAGATCGTTATCTCGCGTATGCAGATGAATTTCTTTTTCACCGTGATCATTTGTGTTATGATATTCACTCATTCTCATTTATACTATATTAGTTAACATGTTAGGGTACTCTCCTTTGGTTGTTACCATTATTTCATATTGCTTTCCTCCTAAATTATGAGGTTAAACTAATTTGCTTGTATTTGATTGTCATCGATACATGTGGTTGTTACCTTCAATCTTTGTTAAGATATACCTTTAATCTTTGTTAAGATATGCTTTCATCTTTGTTAAGATACATGATCTTTGGTTGTAACCATGCCCCTTTTGTTTAAAGTATTGATTACTTTGTTAATTATTTCTTCCCCAAGTGATGGAACTTTTTTAGTTCTCATCCAAGTTGCCTCATCTCCTCCCTTCCAAAGGAAAGTCTCTCTATTGACCCTTGGGTCATAGATAGCTCAATACCCTCATTGGCCTCGAAAGAGACTTAACCCCCTTTTTGGTCTGGATAGAACCAATAGGATATAAACTCATAGGTCTGGATAGAACCTTCCCCTCTTTTGGTCTGGAAAGAACCAATTGATTCCTTAGTTCGAGCCCGAACTACGACCGCTCTGATTTCTCAATGAGAATACGTAGGCACAAGATTCAATATCTTGACGAGCAACCTTGCCCCTCACTAGGAGTGTTTACCAACTAGAACCCTAGGATAGAGTTGTTAACTCTATGTAAGGATCATGGATATGATCACTTACTTCCCCCTTTGAGTGTTACAACATAGACATAGAGAGTTTTGTGAAACTCTACACAAACATTATTATGTTTGTTCCCCTTTGAACCTTGATCGCAATCAAGCGTTCTTCAACCCTAGTGAGGTGAACTACGATTGCTCTGATTCTATCCTAGTTAGGATACGTAGGCAGAGGACGCGATGTCTTTGCGAGCAAACTTAGAAACAATCTTAGGTCTTCATCTATCATAACCTTCACCTTTTTACCCAATACCCAAACCTTAGCAAATATTTAACAAACTTAGCATACAAATAAACAAAAGGTTCCTGTAGAGTACTACAGATGTTTAGGATGTGAAATACCTACCTTATGCATAACCAACCCCCGATCCCCGAATCTCTTAGCGTTGTTGTAACATCGCGCAAAAGGTTCTTTCTTTCTTTAGACCTTTCCTTTGGATAAATTAAAGTCCGGTTGTAAAAGAATTAAGGTTCAAGTTAATTCAATAGCTTGATATCCGATTTTCACCGCAACATACCCGAGTCAAGCTTCATCCTTGGAAGAAGTCCTTCCAACACGATGGCCTCAGCTTCATGGTTGTAACTGGTAGACCCGTCTACCCCGGACGAAGTTATCAATCTTCCCGGAAGGGAAAAGGCATAGCAAGTATGCTACCCTCAATCAAGCTTGAAAGCGAGTTTCAGTGATCCGAGGGTGAATAGATAGAATACCTGAATTGGAATTCCTATAGTGAGGTAAGCCGTGTTTTTCGGTAAGGGCTAATTCGAAGATCCTAGTGAATAGGGCACAGGACAGGGATCTCCTTGATCGAACTTTGAGCCACCCTGGACTTTGGCCAGGCCCCGGTTCCCAGGGTTTGAGTATTCCCTATTATTTATAAGCCTACTTAGATCAGAACTAAACTAGTTGATTCTCTTTCGCCTATCGGCCGGCTTTAAGCAACCTTCGCATTTCCTGCTGAGATCCCAAGTCTCCAAGTGGGCCCTCTTGGCCACCTGCGACCTTGGCTTTTTAGAGAATCCTGCTCCTGTGTCGTGGGACTTGTAGCTCGGCAATCCACCGGGTGGGTTTGTTTATCCTTCCTGTTTCGAGTGTCTTCTTGGATAGTTATAGCGGCCCATAGGCGCGAGATGTACCTTGTGTGTGTGTGTGGGGGGGGGGGGGGGGGGGGGGGGGGGCGGCGGTCCACGGGACATAGTCCTTTTAGGCAGTGGCCATTTAGTCCATGGTCCATTAGATGGTCGGTGCAAGGCCAGAAATTGGAACACATTGATTCCGCTCGTTCCTGTCCTTCGCTTCAGGGCCTGTCCCTCGGTGTGGTCAGTACTCCATACTGTCGTGCAGCGAAGCTTACACTTGTTAACTAATTATGACGGTTCGCCAGGGCCTCTTTCCTCCTCCCTTTTCTGCTCACTCGTAAGGGGTTCAGACCCCCACAAAGGGGGAGGGAGTCGACTGAACATCTCAGCCATTGGCGGGAATTTCGCCCGCATCCGATCCCCAATTCCTGTTCACCCCGGATGATCGTGTTGGGTGAATTGTGACCTCGTACGATCGTTTCGGGTGAGCAACAACCGCTTCGTCACAGTACTTACTTATGGGCTAACGAGTCACACTTTGGCCAAGTATCCTACAAAGAGACTCCCGAGAGCCAGAAGTATTAAAGGAATGGCCATAGGAATGGGCGCATCATGACATCGTAAGATGTCTTGCCCGAATGAATTAGTTGGTACTAGAAATGTTAGAAAAAGTGAACGAAAAGAGTAATAAGAAGTGAAAAGGACAGAGACACTTCCCAACCAGAAAGCAAAATTACCACTTATGGTATACTTAGTGTAAGCGAGCTCTAATATCACATCTTTGGAATAAAATCCAGTTAGAAAAGGAAATCCAATTAGAGATAAGCTGCCCATGAGCATCATGGCATAGGTAAAAGGGAACGAGGAGGCAAGCCCCCCATCTTCCGCATATCTTGCTCATCCGACATGGCATGAATCACCGAACCTACACTCAGGAATAATAATGCTTTGAAAAAGGCGTGATTCATTAAGTGAAAGACGCTAACCGAATAGTTAGAGATGCCGCAAGCAAAGATCATATAGCCTAATTGACTGCAAGTTGAATAAGCTATGACCCTCTTTAGATCGTTCTGTAATATTCCAGTGGTTGCCGCAAGGAATGACGTCGTAGCTCCTGCAGAAGTAATAACAATCAAAGCCAATTGAATCAATGTTATTAGCTGTTAATTCGAACTTTTTGGTATTTTTCGTTTCTTCGGATGATATGATGGGTCAATCATTTGCTTCAATGGTTTCAATGGTGGCAGCTGCGGAATCAGCTATTGGGTTAGCCATTTTCGTTATAACTTTTCGAGTCCGAGGGACTATTGCTGTAGAATTTATTAATAGCATTCAAGGTTAAACATGACTCCTAGAGAATTACCAAAATACGAAGTTATCTTTTCTCCTTTCGTTCTCTTCTTTATTTATTTTTTATTTTTACTTGGTTGGCAGGGCAGGGTCGGGGCCTTTATCGCTGGGCGAGCGCATCCGATTTATTCTAAAGTCCTTTCCTAAACCACTTCCTGTTTAGAAAGATGTTATTTGCTGCTATTCCATCTATTTGTGCATTAAGTTCGAATAAGATATCAATCTATAATGAAGAAATGATAGTAGCTCGTTGTTTTATAGGCTTCATCATATTCAATCGGAAGAGTTTAGGTAATACTTTCAAAGTAACTCTCGACGGGAGAATCCAGGATATTCAGGAAGAATCGCAGCAATTCCCCAATCCTAACGAAGTAGTTCCTCCGGAATCTAATGAACAACAACAATTACTTAGGATCAGTTTGCGAATTTGTGGCACCGTAGTAGAATCATTACCAATGGCACGCTGTGCGACTAAGAGCGAAAAGACAGTGCAAGCTTTGTTATGCCGAAACCTAAATGTTAAGTCAGCAACACTTCCAAATGCCACTTCTTCCCGTCGCATCCGTCTTCAGGACGATCTAGGCACAAAGTTTCACTTATTAGTTAGGAGGAGATTTATCCCCGAGTGTATCTCGAAAGCAGAAAAAATAGAACTCGTTCGAGAGAGCTTGGTGGTCTTAAGAATGGTTCGGGTGGGGGGTTCTCTTAAGAATAAATAATACAAATAGAATCTAATTCATGTTTATGCTAACAGAAGATCGGATCCAATACAAAGACAACTTTTTTCTCATGAAGCAGCTTTGCAAGAAAGGAGTTAGTTCCTTCCGGGGGTTCTGATAGCCAATGCTTCCTACGCTCCAGCCCTTAGCCCTGAACTCCTTAGCACAAGCACTAAGTAAGCCCGTGAAGGAAAGGCCTTCAATATCGCACCGCACCTACTAGGACTGAAATTTCGTTTTCGAATAGGACTACTTCTTTCTTTTCTGTACGCTAGGGCCGCCCGCACGCTTTAAGGGTTGTTGAACGTATTGCACTAAGAAAGACTCCTGTCGTTGCGGTCAAATTTTCTTTGAAAGCCGCTCAAGCAATTTCTTTAAAGAAGAGCAAGCAAGACAAGATAAGGCTCAAAAGTTGCGAAGAAAGTCGAGCTGCTCTAATCGAGCTGTGAAATCGGTGTGGTGAGGTATTGGAAGTGTTAAGCGAATATGGATAAAGAAATTCAAAAAGAGCACCGTGCTATACTGGCAGAGCTTCAGCAAAACTAGGTAGGTAGCTTTCGCTAATGAAAGATGGATTGGGGGATTATATTAGGTCTCCTAATTAATGGAATTAGTTTTCTCTTGATTAGTTTCTTTTTAAAGAAGCATTCTCCCTTTACTCGATCTTTAATTGAATTATCGATAGAATGTTGATCAATATTAAGGAAGAGATCGAGGATCACAGCAGGATCCTATCTGATCTTTGTCAACACAGGACTCGAAGCCCCCTGCTCAAACAAAAGGGTAATCCTTCGGAATTGGAAATTCCTTTGGGATTTCTTATATTAATTATAGTTGAGGGGAGAAGACTCATTTAAAATTCTATCTATATAGGGGGGGAGCCATTGTGAAGCCTAGAGAGGCGGAAGCGGCAAATCGCTTCTACCGAGTTCCACAACACTTAGCTTAGTAGCTTAACTCTTTCTACTGGCGTGGCGCTGTTGGATGTTTCTGATCAATAGAACAGGAAGAGGAGGAAAAAAAGCTTATGATGAGCATCTATTTGAGTCGATCATTTCCAAGATGTAATTCAAGTTTATTCTTATGTAGTGGAAAGGCCTTACAATCTGAAGTTTTACGCTTAGGGGAAGAAATGTTCTTGGTGGATGCAGGACCTGGGACCCCCATAAATTGTATGCAAGATGAGCCTACAAGAGTGCCAATCAACCGAGCCACTAGGTTTGAGAATAAGGTGGGATTCCTGGATCTAGTGGTCGGTGAATCACTGATCAAAAAGAAGATTTTGGAGAGATTATTCATCGATCTAGTGGCTGGAGAATCACTGATCAAAGAGCGAGTAGCTGCCAGGGTCAATGATTTGGTGGGATCCACAAATGTAATGACCGATGAACCGCTTCTTCTTCTTCCACGAAGATTCAGACAAAACCGAGCTTGGATGAAACTGAACAAGATTTGGCGAACGAATACAAAGGTAAAAGGCTTTATTATTAATAAAGTCAAAGGAGGTTATTCAGTAGCCATCGCGGGTTTCATTACTTTTCTTCCATTCCGTTCTCACAACAAAAGGGAAAAAAGGAGGATATCGAATGATCGATTCACCATTGAGAGCATTAACCCCAAAAAGAAGAATATTGTGGTGTTCTAACAGCGGTAGATCAAACAATAACTTGATGAGCGAAATTTGCTGACGAAAAAAGTGCATTTTTTTTCAATTCCGAAGCGAAACCTAGCGTCTCCTGATAACACTCTATCACCTTAATCCATTCTTTTGTTGAGGTTCTGACACTTATTACAGGCCGCTCTGTCATTGTCTGATTTTTTGTTGTCTGATCACACTCGAAATTATGTATCTACTTATCGTATTTTTGCCCCTGCTCGGTAGTTCTGTAGCAGGTTTTTTCGGACGTTTTCTAGGATCAGAAGGAACCGCTATAATGACCACTACGTGCGTTTCATTCTCTTCGATCTTATCTTTGATTGCTATTTATGAAGTCGCACCGGGAGCTAGTGCTTGCTATCTAAGAATTGCTCCATGGATCTCATCGAAAATGTTTGATGCTTCTTGGGGCTTCTTTGGCGACCGTGAAGTCACCGGATGAATTGCCGAGTAGATAGATCAGATCCGGACGCGGCTGTTGCTCCGCGGCGATACGGACTCGACCCGCTCCTACCCCCCAGGGGGCACCATAGCATGTCGGGAAGAAGGGGGGACATACTGGACATAAACACTCCCTTGGGGGTTGTGCCGCCCTGCCTTTCGATCGATACACAGTTGAGTAGGCCGATCACAAACGCTACAGGTGTGGGAGCGATCCCGTGCCCGTCTGTCCGCTTTTTTTATTCGCACAACATAGAAACTTAAACGTGTGTATATTTCGTATAAACTATATATTAATGAATTAATTATATATTAATGCTACTATTATTTTAAACATATCGAATTAAATATAATTTAGATAAAAAATATGTTGTATATGTGAATTTTGATATTTTTTACACGCGTCAAAATACGAACAGATATGTTTTATTTAATTTTGATTTTAATTTAAATTATTTGTATAGTAAACTTTTTAACTTAAATTATAGGTGTGAGATTTTTCTGTGCGAGATGGAAGTTACTTTTTCAATTGGTAACCAACGTAAGTAATTAATCACTCAAGATTTTAAATTAATCAATTTTCTTGTTGATAAAAAAGATAAAAGGTAATTTTGAAATAAAAATAAGTCACATTAAAAACTTGTCTCCCTTTATATATATTTATAGATTTACCAATGTTAATATGTTCAAACATGTCACTCATTTCTCATCGTGACTAAACATTTATGTTTATGACCAATTATGAGCAGGGTCGGCCCTGGGTAAGTGTAGCAAGCACTACAAGATAGGCCCCATACTTTAAAAGGTCTTAAATTATAAAATTTCTAATTTTTTTCTAAAATATTAATAAAAATAAACAATATATTATAATAAAACTCAATAAATAATAAATACTATAATAAAAACCCAACACATATGAAAATTAAGATCGATCAAAACTCAAATTAATCATAATTAAATTTATTTTTTGATTAATACATAATTGTATTTTTTATGTGCATTTTTTAATTATTGTAATTGTAATTTTCTTAAAAAATTTGGGGCCTACTCAGAACGGGGCCTCCTAAATGATTGGGCGGGTGCTGTTTATGAGTATTTAACTATCTTTGCCTATCTTACCTTTATGTACATGAAAATCACTAAATAAGGGAACAATCTTCAAATCAAAATGAGGAGCAAAAACCATTAAACATAAAAGTCACACATTGTAACTCTCGTGATTTGACCCAAAATAAGTCCTATTGATTATTAAACTTCGGATGGAATAAGCATATTGATTTTTCAGAAGTCTCATCCCCTCAAATTTTATGGAGAGTGATACCAAGAAGACAATAAATATCATTAGAAAATAATAAGGGAATAAGAAAATTCGTAAAAGAGTCAAGTTAATATTGTTGCAATAACTATTTATACAATTGTTTTATCTAATTATATTTATTTTTAAAAAAAATTAGTAAAAACGGGACGGTGAATTCCTTAAAAAAAATTAAATCTAGTTCTGAAAGTTCTATCTACATTTCTTTATAGACTAAAATTGTAAAAATAATATGTATGCCCAATTTATTATAATTGAATTAAAAACCTCAACTATAGTTTGATAGTTGTTTGACATCATCAAATAACACTTTTCTCAAATCTAAGAAAGATATCTAGAAATCAAAATTTACTGTAATTTCTTCAATGAGAGTAATTCTTGTTGTCCGCATTAAAATTAACATGATTGTGCATGTTGTTGATATTTTTGTAATATGAGGGCATGTTATTATCATATGTAGGATCAACTTATTATTGCATGGTGTGTTGCACATAATAGTTGCACGATAGGAAGGAAGATTGTTGTTGTATGGTAGAAATGAATTGTTGTTTGTTGGAATATTGTTGTTTCAGTGCCGGTTGTCGCTATTGTTGCTATATGACTTTTTTTTCTAATGAACAAACTAAATTGATGGAAGAATTTAAGTATCACTTTATTCAGTAATAGTAATTGAATTCAGCTTTGTTGTTTCACTGTCGCCGGTTGTCGCCATTGTTGCTATATGACAATAATTTTTTTCTAATGAACAAACTAAATTGATGGAAGAATTTAAGTAGCACTTTTATTTAGTAATAGTAATTGAAGTCGAAGGTGGAAGACAATTTAAAAATTACACTGAAATTTATAGTTATGGGGTACGAGAAATTGTAGGAAAATAGAAGGTGTAAGTTAGTGAAAGAAGGGGATACGAGGGTTTAGAAAAATGACCTCACACCTTCTGCACACTTTCTCTTAATTATTTTTTTACTATATACCCTCATTCACTTTAGTAAACCTTCAAACGAACATTTGACAATTTTTTTCTCTCTCACACCACTTTCTTTTTCCTTGTGAGTCATGTTGTCGGCTGTCATGTTAATAGTGTGTCACATTTTCTCATGTAGCTTCTTCTATAGACGTGTTATCCCACTGAGTTAATATTTAAATGGGACAAGAACAATATTGATATTTTATAATAAGAAATAAAAGAAAACTTTAAAAATAATTGTTAATGTTTTCTTTGTTTGTAGTATCCCTTTATATTTAATCATTAGTCAACCAAAAATAATAATATTGGTATAAAAAAATTTTAATGTTAAATATTATTTATGTGAATTGTTGTGTTTTATTTTTGTGTCTTCCATAAAATAAATTTTAAAATATCCCAGCCATTATTTCTTCGAAAAATATTATTCATGTGAATTTTTGGCAGGATCCTCCCTCAAACCATGTGTATTGCATAAGATATATCGCCCAAAATTTCATGCGGGAAATCAAAGACAAAACACTAATGAAGAAGGTTGTGAACACAGGGTATGCACTAACAGAGCCCACATTCAAACACTACCTTGTTCGCATCACCTCAAACTCTTTTTTAGTAAGCAATAA